ATATGGTGTCTTGTTGTGAGATTTGTTGATCAAGGATCTATTTTGTGTATAGCATGCCGTGTTTATAGCTTTGGCCCAAAATCTTTTAGGTAATCCTGAGTGCGAGATCATCGTTCGTGCAGCTTCTTTCAAGGTTCTGTTTCTCCTTTCGGCTACTCCGTTTTGCTGAGGAGTTCGTGTTGCCGATAGTTGATGGAAAATTCCATTTTGTGCACAGAATTCCTTTATGACTTTGTTGACAAATTCCGTTCCCTGATCTGATCTTATACGAATTATTTTGACCTCCTTTTCTGTTTGGAGTTGTCTCAGAAGATTTGGAAGAGCTTTTTCTGTTTCGTTCTTCTTCTTCTTCAAGAAAAGCACCCATGTATATCTTGTGTAGTCATCTACTATAACAAGAGTATACTTTCTTCCACTCAAACTTGCTGGTTCTACTGGTCCAAAGAGATCCATATGTAGAAGACTTAAAGATCGAGAGTTTGCATCCACATCTTTTGACTTAAAAGATGACTTGAATTGCTTCCCTTTTTGACATGCCTCACATATTTTATCTTTCGTGTAAGACACTTCGGGTAGCCCTCTCACGAGATTTCTTTTGGCAAACTTGTTTATCGTCTTCAAATTCAGATGACTTAGTTTGTTGTGCCATTCTTGATTGAGATCTGCATTACTTTTAGCCACAAGACAAACATTAGCGTTAGAAGAATTTAAGGATATTACGTACATATTCTTCTTTCGTTGACCCGTTAAGGCTGTCTTGCCATCCTTCGTGTTCACGATTTTGCATTCGTTTTTGAAGAATTCTACTTTGTATCCTTTGTCACAAAATTGACTTGTGCTTAGGAGATTGAACTTCAGTCCTTCAACATAAGAGACATCTTGTATTGTTATTCCCTTTTTGATGATGTCCCCTTTTCCACGAGTTTTGCCGCTGTTTTCTCCTCCAAAGATAACTTTGGGTCCATCTACTTCTATAAAGTTGCTCAAAATTGTTTTATCACCAGTCATATGTCTTAAGCATCCACTATCAACATACCATATGACCTGTTTTTCCTGCATCAAAGATTATGTGTTTTTAGGTACCCATTGAGTTTCGGGTCCTTGGGGGTTAGCAGTCAACTTTGGAACCCACATCAACCTAGAGTATTCACGACTCATCCTTGGTCCTCTATATCCATTAGATGTACGATAATCATAATGGATGCTGGCAAAGACTTTAGCATTATATTTCTTACGTTGATCTTCCTGAGGAAGATTCTCATAATGCTTGAGATGATTAGTTTGTTTACGCAGATGAACCTTTTCAAATACTGCTTTAGGGAGAGGTTCTGGGTAATCAAACCAATCTTCTTCTGATGGCCCAGTCCATCCATTGCCATACCCAGATCTTTTGAAGGATCTTTCGGGTTGTCTGATTTGTCCGTTCTTTGAGATTCCTTGAGTAGGATTCTTTCGTGTGAATTTCGGACGATATTGCCTCTGGTTAACATTCGTCTTTTTCTTGGATTGAGTATTCCTGTTAGGCTGACCTCTTTTATGGTTTAGATCTTGTCTATTGCCATTTGGTCCATTCCTTTTGACATAAATTTGTCTAGGGTTGCCTTTAACGGATTTCTCTTTTCCAGATTCCACAACACGTTGTACAGCCGTCCCTTTCGGTTGGCTTGTTGTTTGTGGTATTTTGACATTGTTAACTACCATCATAGGCTCAGACACCTGGGTGGGTCCTTGAACAAATGCAGCCTCGAAGCTTTCGTGTGAATATGCATTCGTGGATTTGTTCAATTCGACTTGTGAAGAGGAGCTGGGGTTAAAACCAATTCCAGTTCTTTCCCCGGGCAGTCTAGATTCATTCATCATTCTATCCATTAGATTGGATGAATTATTGAATTTATTCAAGACTTCAAGCAGTTCTTGCTCTCTCTTTTCTTTTGCTGTGCATTGCTCCTTTAGAGTGAGAACATCTTTCTCAAGCTGCTCCTTAGCAATGACCAGCATATTGTTCTCAACACGAACTTGCTTTAGTTCATTATAGCTAGTCATGAGCCGAGAGTTCTCCTCTTTAAGTTTGGAGTAAGTGCTATTTATCACCTTGAACCTCCTCATCATTTCGGTGACAGATTCATTGGAGGTATGACTTCCCACAGAACTTGACTCAGCTGAGTAACAAGAAGATGAATGAGAGTTTACCTCATCTTCATCTGCCATGAGGCACAGTTCGTCTAACTCTTGACTAAATAGGCACAGCAGTCCTTTCTCCTCATCAGTGTTTCGTCTTCTGAGCTAGAGCTTGAGGAACTACTTTCGGTTGCAACTGTGTCAGAAGTTTCGTTTACTACCATTGCCTTCCTTCTTCCTTCCTTTCTGGAGTTTGATGATTCAGGCTTGTCGCTCCTTTTATATCTTTCTCCAGTCTCTTTTGAGGGACTTGTGGTAGTGTTGTTATCTTGATGCTTGCTCACTATAGGATGAGGACAATTCGCTTTGAAGTGTCCTGGCTTTCGACAATTATAGCACAAAAGCTGCGAGTCCATGGTTTCGGTTTTTGAGGTTTGAGGGAAGCTCTCGTGTTTCTTTCGGTGGCCCGATCGTTGTGGGTCTTGAAAGTTGTTCTTTCTCATGAACCTTTTCATTTTCCTGACAAATAGTGCATATTGTTCATCAGATAAAAAATCACAAGAGTTAGATTTCGACCTGTTGGATGTTGATGCTGATTGATTTGCCACGAGAGCAATGTTTCTTGTTTCTGTTTCTTCGGCGTCTTTCGGTTCATGTTCGAACTCATAGGATTTGAGATCACTGAAAATTTTGGTCGTGCTTGTTGTTTTCATATCTCGGTTATCCCTCATTGCAATAACCTTCATTTCCCATGATTTTGGTAATCCACGAAGGATCTTCAAATTCATCTCCTTCTCAGTTAGCTCTTTTCCGAGGTCTGTCAGATCGCCCATCAGTCTGGTAAATCTGAGTTCCATATCCATGATTGACTCATTTGGCAGCATTTTGAAATCTTCAAATTTTTTCATGGCCATTGTCAGTTTGTTGTCCTTTTCTTGCTCGTCTCCTTCTCCCAAACTCATTAGGACATTCCATACTTCCATGGCATTTTGGCACTTTCGGACTCTGGGAAACAAAGAATCATCCAGAGAGTTGTAGAGAACATTTCTTGCCACATTGTCCAGATTTGCTCTTGTTCTTTCGTCCGTGAAATACTGGTTTTTCGGCTTTGGTATCATCTGTGCAGCTCCTGCTCCCTGTGCGGCTGCTTGTGCATTCGCCATCATGACCGTGATTGGTCCGGTTGTTATGACGTCCCACATTTCATCATGAATAGAGCATAGGAGAGCCTGCATTCTTAACTTCCAGTCATCAAATTTAGCAAGACTAAAGGCAAGTTGCTTAGAGCGATGTGCATGTTCCTTTTCCATTTTTAGATAAAAAGCGTGCAAAGAAAATATGCAAGATTTTCAAGAGATTTTTGAAAAGGGATCTACCAGGCAGTAAATGCAAAGCCTTTACCGATCAAGGTATTTGCTCTGATACCACTTGTTGGTCCCGATAGAATGTAATGAGAGTCTAGAGGGGGGGGGGGGGGTGAATAGACTCTTTTCGTGAAATGCCCTAATCGTCACCTTTCGATGTTTTGGCGCAGCGGATAAGTCAGATTCATTTTAATAGCTTTGCACGAGGTTACGAGATTAGGAAAACTTTTGGTAACAGTGATAAAATGATGATACGAATGCAGTAAGGAAAAGCGTAAGTAAAGAGATAGAAGAGACAAGAGATTTTATAGTGGTTCGGCTAACGTTGCCTACTCCACTCTTCTTCCACAAATGATGGAAGGATTGCACTATCACTCTTAGTACAATTACACAAAGACTTCCTTGATCACTAAGCCGGACAACCTTCGTAGGTTTTTCAACTCCTCGAGTTTACTTCGCCTCTATCAACTTCTTCTCCTGAGTTGAGGTTGGTAGAAAATGATTTCTTGATTTCTCCAACGATGAAGTCTTGACTGTGAGAGATGATTGCTTCGAACAAATGGCAAGACTTCCTTTGAGGTGTAAGAAAATGATCAATAACCTTCTTCAAGTAACTTAACACCTCAATACTGGTTCACAAAAACTTTTTTGGAAATTGAGAGCGTTCAAGAGCTTTTGCAAGTAAATAAGTCGAGTGAGAATGAACCAGCACCTTCTTAGTTGATGAAGGTGGGTTTATATAGGTGATGAAAATTAATCCGTTGGAGGGAGATGAAATTTTCGAACCTTTTAACCATTGGACAAGGACCGGGGAGCTTCATGCATTAAATGCTCCATTAATGAGGTTGTACCATGTAGTCGTTGAAGGTATGGAAAGCATTAGGATATGTCCTTTAGCTCCAGGAGTTGGTACATCTTCATTTAATGCTCCTTGAAAAGTGTGTCCCATAAGATGAGGTCCTTATTGTCCTAGGATGTTGTCAAATCAGACAGGTAGAACATTCTTCTCGTTGTTGAAGAGAAGTAATGCTTGATAAAGATCGTCTTTAATAAAACTGTCCTTTCGTGCTTGTTGACAACTCCTGCTTGACTCTCGTTGTTGTTCTTCATGTCTCGTGTCTTCTTTCGCCTTGGAGACCCTAACATCTAGTAATAACTCATTTTCTTGTGTTTGTCTAGCTTAACACGAATTACTGAGGAGTTATGGCAACTCTTGTCTAGGACGAAAGCAGCGATTGAAAAAGCTAATGGTTAGGGGTCTACTTTTCTACATTACATTGGTATCATCAAAATCCTAATAAAATGTTCCTAACAGTTTTCACACTCAACACTCGCAACAGATGAGGAGTTGAAATCTTTCAAGCCATATAAAAAATCAACATAATCTGGAAATACGTAAAAAAAAAAAAAAAAAAAAAAACAAAATTTTGAATTTTTCTACCGAAAAAAGTTACAAAACAGCAAGTTATATGAAAAAAATTACATGTTAGCATTTTGTTTTTATTTTATTTTTCCATGTAAGCAAATTAGATGGGTTACTTGTTAGAAACTTGCTAAAAATGCTAGATGAAAAATAATTGGGAATATAATAGTCTAGATGGACCATATTTGAATTCATGGTGCTAGATGAACAATCAATGTTAGTACATAGGCCTATTTAGCACTTTTGCCTAATATATATATATATATATATATATATATATATATATATATATATATATATATATATATATATATATATATATATATATTAGTTTCTTCCTGTCCGAGACATAATATACATCAGTACATGTGCATATACTCATCATATATATGCTTTAAACTCTTTAAGGCTTAAGCCATATTGTGTGCAAAATTAGCTAGGTTTGTGCAAGAATTTAAAAGAAACTATATAAAAATTAATATAGAGGAAGCCTTTTTATTTTCAAAAATAAAAATAAAAAAAATATAGAGGAAGCTAACCTCCATGGTTAAAGGCTGAAAGCTATTGCTATGGGAATATTGCCGCTTTTTCTTGCTTTATTAAAAGTTGCATGATAAATTTTCAAATGTTCCTGTCTTGTCTATTTTTGTGTTGGTACGATCGACATATTTTTACCATTTTAATATTTAATATTAATAACTTAACTTTTTCTGTGAATTGTTTATTGACTCTATCGGTTTGAACGAATTATTTATAGTAACCTAAATTGGTTTACCTCCTTATAATCCTTTATTAGCTAAGGTCGCAATTGGGCGGGATTCACCCACAGTACGTGCACTTACAAGTAACAGCTGTAGGCTTTCCTGTAAATCAAAGTAATCACTTAACTAACCAACTTATAATCATGATTTAAAAAAAAAAAACTAATAATCATCCTATTTTTTAAAAAATTGCACTTGTAATTCTCAAATAATAAGGTAATAGCAAATTCAGTTCTTAGATTATAAATATCACTACTTTTAGCCTTCGACTTTCCGATAATATAACATTTTTGATCAATCTTTTAATGAGTTTATCAAAATTTAGGAGGAAAGAAGAGGAGATTAAAGATATGAAATTTCAATATTAGTCATGATCGACTAGGATATTTAAAGATCAAGAGTACGTAACAATTTTTTTTATAGAATCGGTCATTAATGGAGAGATTGAAAGTGCCTTAGCACTAAACTTTAGAATTAAATGCGGTGATACTATACCTTTGAATATACAAATTGAGTTTGCTATTTGTCTATTACCTTATCACATGAATAATATATAATATATAATCACATATATTAACTATAATATAATATTTATGTGTTTGTGGGAGATGACAACATGCATAGCATATATGCTATGTTGACATCATTTTATGTTGCATCCTCTTTTCTTGATGGTTGAAATGGCAAAAATCAGATATGAAGTTGACATGTGATGAAAAGAGAATTTTGAATTGAAAGCACAAAATAGAATAGTCTTGGCACATCCTCTCCTTAATTAACTGTGTATCCTTTAAATTTCTTTGGCATACATTTAAAAAAAAAAAAAACAAAAAAAAAAAAGACAGATACACTGACCAATTGTTATAAATAACTATATCCTCTCTAATATCCAATTTACGTGGAAAATCGAGGTTGTGTCACTTGTGTAATAGAAAACAAATATATAGTAATCTTGATATGTCTAATATATAGAGTACTAAATCCATAAATCCTGCTAGACTACAAGATTTTTGGTAATTTTTGGACATTGGTTTGACAAATTTAATTAGCTGAAAACTAAGTTAAAAATTGATAAAGCTAGCTAATTATCATTCATATGGAATTGAAATAATAATATTCAAGGCCGTATTTCAATAAAAATTAGTAGCTCTGTGAGCATGATGAGGACTGTATGAAATTGTATTCAATAATCAGTAATTACAACTGTACAGACTGAAGAATATATACAAGAAGAATGATAGGGACACTAGGATAGCTAGGGAGTCATAATGTGACTCAAATGCGTCCTAATACTGAAATATATAGAGTCCTAATAAGCATTTGTCCATCTAAAATGATCAATCAACAGTTGAAAATTAAAGAAAAATGAAAAAAATGTAGTGGTACGCTAATTCCATAATTATAACGGTGCATTTGAAAACGCTTTGTAATGCATATGTGGATAACTAATAGTGAACACACGTGATCGAGTGCACTATTATAAATCTTGAGGGTATTGTTAATAATTATCCACGAACGCATTATCAAGTGTCATGTTACGAGAGACATCTTCGTACGTAATTATAGAAATGTCACAACATTTTTCCTTAAATTTCATTCTGTACATTCTCATGGGACTACTTAGTTCTCATCTTATCTTCTCTTTGTGTTTGTGTGTATGTTGGTAGGTTAAAATGAGAACAACCTCCTATGGTAAAAAGTGAATCTCAGCCACCTACCAGGTTTCATCGATGGTAAAAAAATAAAAAATAAAAAAAATAAAAAAAATAAAAAAATTGGATCAATTTTATATTTATAAGTTTCCAACAATATTTATGACACAAAAAAATGTAGACTTCTTAGCTGATAGTCTAGCAAAACCAGTAAACACGGCAAATTATGCTGTGCATCCGTATGCACCAAGCATGGTGCATACGGATGCAAAAACGACGTCGTTTTTATAAAACGCGCGTCTCCCCTTAAAAAAAAAAAAATTAGGTTCGAAACTATAATTCCATAATCGATGAACTATAATTCCATAATCGATGAACTATAATTCCATAATTGATGAACGATAATTCCATAATCTAATCTATGAACTAAAATTTTCAGAATGAATGAACTAAAATTCCAGAATCTATGAACTAAAATTTCAGAATCGATGAACTATAATTCCAGAATCGATGAACTATAGTTCCATAATCGATGAACTATAATTCCATAATCCATGAACTAAAATTCCATAATGAATGAACAAAATAATGTTGTTACTAGGAATCGAACCTGAATTTTTTTTTAAAGGGGAGACGCGCGTTTTTAATAAAACGACGTCGTTTTTGCATCTGTATGCACCATGCATGGTGCATACAGATGCACAGCATAACTATTCAGTAAACACATGACATATGTTGTCTTAAAAAAAACGAATAGAAAATCCAAACAACAAGAAGTAGGTGGTACCTCATGATACACACAAAAACACATAACACATAAACATAGAAAAATGTTAGGAGTAATTCTAGTAAATTAAGGAAGTGAGAGATAGTATGAGGTGAATTGCGGGGCAAATCTTCTTTGGCAGTGAGACCAAGTTAGTTGACCAACTGCCAAAGAAGATCAGCCCAGTAATACATCCATACCTTAATATAATATAATGCTCTTCTATTCACTCCATTTATGAACAGTGTCAGGTATTCTAAAACTATTTATAGTGATGGAACAGAAAACTCTGCAGTTTAAATGTGAAAGAGCATATTTGGACGCATATACTCATTTTACTGGCTGGCCTAAGGAATAATGTCTGTACCCTAGCTAGCTTGTTTGTTCCATGAACAAGCTGCAAAAGCTTAACCACTCACACATGAGGCTGTCAAAGTGGACCAAAGTTTGCGGGCGGGCCCTCACTCAATTATACCGTGAACCACGGTGCATAATTGATTATGCACTGCGCTTCAAAACGACGTCGTTTTATTTAATGAAAGAAACGGCAACTATTTTTTGCCGTTCCGCAAAAAGTAACTCTGTTATTCAGTTTCATTTTGTATACACTGCAGTTTCAGTTCAACACAACTACAGTTTCATTTCGATATAATTACAGTTTCATTCAATATTTATACACTCAAATATGTGAAAATGTTATTTAATTTTTTTTTTATATACACTATAGTTTCATTAAAACACAACTACATGATTATTTCGATATAACTACAGCTTTATTGCACAATATATACTCAAATATGTGAAATGTCATTCAATTTAATTTTAAATACATTGTAGTTTTATTTCAACACAACTACAATATCATTTTGATATAACTACACTTTCGCTGGGTAATATACACTCAAATATGTGAAATTGTTATTCAGTTTCATTTTGTATACACTGCAGTTTCATTTCAATACAACTACAGTTTCATTTCATTTCAATTGCAGTTTCACTTGATAATATAAAAATAATACGTGAGACAGTGTCAGTTTAGATACACTGTAGTTTCAATTGGTAATTAATACACAAAAAATACACATGCCGTTACAGTTAACGACACACCGTTTCTTTACTTAAAGAAATGGCGCCGTTTTTTACCGCGGTCCACGATATAACGATTGTGCCCCGCGATAGGGTGTGTTAGGGTCACAAAAAAGATGACCCGCGAAGAAAGAGCGGGCCTAACGAGCCTTGCCCACAAAAACCCGGTCGCACGGGCTGTGGGCCATATATATATATATATATATATATATATATATATATATATATATATATATAACCCTAAGTTCATGCCCTAGTCTCCCACATTCGCTAAACTTCAATAAATAGTCCTTAACCAGTTAACCCAAAGTGAAGAATATTTAATGAAGATAAAGTCAAGTGCAACATATCTTTTGAAAAATGAATACAGAGTATTAAATTTGTCTCCCATGCATTTGCTTTAATTAATCGAGGGAATTGGGAGCTGATGAGGTTGATTTCTTGAACAAAGTTTTTAAAACTCTTTAGGAAAAAAAAAAAGTGTCATCTTTATTACTCGCTTAGGAGCGTGATGATGTAAGTTTGAATTTATGTGTGTATGCAGCAATGCAACATCTTTGGAAGAGTTGTCCTTCAAACAGGTCCAGTAAAAAACTTGGTTGAATTAATTTTATCTCGTAGGATGCAGATTTTGATGTAATATGTGGAAAAAAATATTGTATGATTGAAGATTTGAAGTGAAGCTAATAATGACTTGTTAATTGATGCAATTAAGTTAGATTAGTTTTTTGAATTGATGCAACTGAACCAATTAATTAAATCTCATATATTGACTTTTTAATTACATAAAAAGGGATAAATTTCTTAAGTACATGTATTATTACGTTTTTTTTTCTGTCTGAAATATGTATGTCAAAAAATAAAATAGGGGGAAAAAGTGAATCCAAATATCTAACATGCACAGTTGGAATAGTCCATGGCATATGCTACAGAGTAGTTGCTTTCGCAAGTAGCGATAACATCACAACAAGCAAGCTTTGTAGCTTTTGCAACCTCGTATGTACAACCTAATTGGTCAATTATATGGCTAATAATAAAATGACCCTGATTGGAAACATAGTTAACTTATCAGTCAATTTTGACTTATTTAACCACGATTAACTCACTACTGGAAATTATGGAATTTTTGACCACCTGAAAGTGATCTTAAATCAAGTTGAAAGCAAAAAGTGGTCGGAAATAGCAGCAAAGGTTTTTCCGGATACCAAAAGTGGTCGGTAACAAGGCTTTCAACTTGATTTAAGATCACTTTCGGGTGGTCGGAAATTTCAGAATTTCCAGTAGTGACTGTTTGACTTGATTAAAAAATTAATATGAGTGTTTTATTAATTAACTTTTTTTGTAACAACTTATTGCTCCAAAATGTTAAAATTCAAAAAACTGCTAAGCTTTTTAAGAAAGTCATTTTGCATGTAATCAGCTATCGACTACTAGATAATTTACCAAACATTTTTCTACAATCAGCTAATGTTATCAACTAGTCAAACTCACTAACCCAATCAGCTAACAATTAATTACCAAACATTCCTAATAATTAGATCAAACACTTACCATTATTCAAACGCTATAGCTAGTAGTGTTTACATTGCAGAGAATACTTTCAATGGGATTCGAACCCGTGACCAAAAATAAGGCAACTAATTGTATTTCTTTATACTTGGCTAGCTAGTAGTTAATGCCATGTTTTAATGACAGAGACTCTGCTCTCCGAGTCTCCACCCAACATCTATGAAGACTATTAAGAAGCATGTTTGAGTGAAATTATGCATGCACGCACGCACATTAAACCTTAAACCACATATGGGAAAGATGGGGGACCATGGCTAGCTAGCAGCAACAAGAAAGGTACAAGGAAAGCTCCATTACCTGCACATAAAGACTTGTTCAGTGGTCTAGAATAGGGCATTGTGCTTGGCATATACCGATCGGTGGTTTATTCATTTGCAATAAAAGGTTGGATATCCAACCCAAATGTGCGAATACTCTTCTGCTTATAAGCTGCCCTGCCTAACCATCATACTCGGCTCAAACAGCTCAACGTACACAATCTTTTCTGGTCGAGCTTCCTATAATGTCAAACGTCTTATAGTTTAGTGATATGAGTTTATGATTTTAGGTAAGGTGTTTTAAGTTTAGTCTCCTTGTAGAGAAGAATAACAGTGCATTTCTCCTTTGGCAGATATACTTTGCATTCAGTAATATGGAAATCATATTAATTGAATTGCATATGTATAGCTTTTGCCAAAGGAGAATTGCCCTGCCATTCCTGCTCTCTACTAATTCTGTGTTTAGATCAAGGGTGTTGGGCGGCGGCTAGGAGAGTCGCATTTAGTATTATGTCATTGAAAAATGGGTTGGCTGCTAACTACTGGAAATAAAGTTGTCTCTTCACTACTAGCTTTTGATATATATATAGTGGTAAGTATTTAATTTGATCTATATATATATATATATATATATATATATATATATATATATATATATATATATATATATATATATATATGCAGTAATTGATGATCAGATCATCAGGGTATTACTTTTTAATTTTCTTGTATTTCTTTGGTGTTTTGCTAATTGTTCATGATAATTTGTAGCCAATTCGGTCATTTAATTGATTGTTGTTGTGTTTATGTAACAGGAAAGCAAATGGTGATTATTTGTGAAGAATTATGTTTGTTTTTATTAATGATGGGGTAAAACCAGCCTAATACATTTCGGGTCGGTCACACATTAAATGAGACCGGAGGTAAGCACGAGAATAGGTTAGCTTGATCGTGTAGCTGCATCGGACGAAGGTGATATGGACAGTCGGTTGGAACCGAGCATCGAGGTCGCTTAGCTTGATCGCAGTCGGCGTATAAGTGAATGTAGTCAGTCAACAGGAGAAAGAGCCGAACGGGATCCCTCTGAGACCTATCCGGACAATCGGGACCTTAGGGGTTCTGATGCGTAGTATATTTGCAAACAAATAATTTTCGGAGTACGAGTTATCGATCCACAGGGAAGTGGTTGTATCAAGCACTAGTTACTAACTTATTCATTAGAGCTAATCCTAACAATTACTTAGATGATTGATTGGCATAAAATAAATAAAATAAAACAGAGGTTCAGGATTTTGAAAACAATAAGAGAGAAAATGAGATTCATGGGATTCAAGTATTTAATCACCTAGTGCCAATTAACGTTTGTAATATTTAGTTTGGAATTAAGACTTGTATGGAATGCAAAGTGGAACAGAATTACTCCCGTATTTTCTACCCCTAGTGAATTTCCACTCCCGTGGCTTAAACACCCTATAAGATCGAAGATCAGCATTCAATTATTCCCAATTACTACCATCTCCCGATGCGCAACAATCTAGTATAAGATTCCCCCAATAAATTCTCCTTTCCCAAAGTCCAACCATTAGGTGCAATCGTGTGTGCCGTAATTTATGCCTCAACTCCCATTGGTGACACAAACATGGCTATGAAGCTAGTAACTATGGCCATTAATTACAAGCATCAAACAATATTATTACGATTGCAACACAAGTATTAAACCCAAATAATAATATATTAAAGAAACTAAGAGCTCAGGCGCTTAGGTTCATAAACACTTTTACCCAAGAATCTCTAAAGAATTTAGCCAAGCATGACTAAATTATACATAGCAAATAGAGTAAAAGACATTTTTAGTCCTAAATTTATAGTGGCTTGGACAATTTTAGTCCTTTATAAAAAAATTTGCCATTTTATGGACAGAGTTATTGTGGCGAGGACATTTTTGGTCCTCCGTCTATATTTCTGTTAGATAACCGTTTGAGAGAGGGGTAATTACATCAATTTAGGCTATCTCCTTCTATCTATTATATCTATGTGTGTTTTGTTTTCTTCTCGGTCATATTTCGAAGGAGTCGGAGAGTCCAAGTTGCAGTTGTACGAAGAAATTGCCGGAGAATTGAAGCCGCCAAACAGGTTACTAATCAAATAGATAGAAGGACAATCGAAGCCGCCAAACACACATAGATATAATAGGTAGAAGGAGATAGCCTAAATTGACGTAATTGCCCCTCTCTCATACGGTTATCTAACAGAAATATAGACGGAGGACCAAAAATGTCCTCGCCACAATAACTCTGTCCATAAAATGGCAAATTTTTTTTATAAAGGACTAAAATTGTCCAAGCCACTATAAGTCTAGGACCAAAAATGTCTTTTACTCTAGCAAATATAAATAAAGAATTACAAATCATCAAAAGAATACAAGAATTAACCAGACGATTTTCTCAAATCTCCCTAGTCTTCTTCTTGCTTTCCAAGACAACTTGTGGCTCTTGATTTCTCTCCTTGTCTCCAAGAATCTCTGAATTCTAAACTATCAATTGTAAATTATCTATTCTAATTATTTACTCTAAACTACCATACTTCATTAGGGTTGAGGAATGTGGGATTTTATAGTTGATACAAAGCTAGAAAGGAATAGGAATTTTCCTAATTTAATTTAGGAAGTTTAGCTTTGGAATGATTAGGCAATTATTGTAGCCATCTTGCTTTGGAATATTGTCATTTTAAATTAGGAAGTTTCTAAAAATCGCACCCAGTGCAATAGCTACGTTTTGCAAGCTTATTTTGACCCTTTTCTCTTATTATTTAGAGTTTGATGTCTTCATAAGAGTTGTATCCCTTCGAGTCTTCTTTCCAATGGCGCAAGAATCACCTCAATCGGACATTCGTTGCATGAGATATGATCAAAAACTAAACTGCCGCCAATCTGTGCGAGATGAAATGTTACTGGAAATTTTCGACGCGTCGAGTTTTTGCTGAGTCATAGGTTGTAGCCCTTCGAGTCTTCTTTCCAATGGCACAAGAACCACCTGAATCGGACATTCCTAGCATGAGATATGATCAAAGTACTAAGCTGTCGCCGAATTCAACGAAAATTACAACTCTTCGGTCTTTTGATCCACTTTTGACTCCAATTTTGTCCTAGGACTTCCCTTGCTCATAATTTTGACCTACAATGGTTCAAAAACACTAACAAACACCGTAAAACATTCAAAACAAGTGTAGAACCATATTCTAATGAGAATAGCAAGGAAAACATGTATTAAATAAGCAAAATTAAAGAACTTAATTACCGAGATGATTTAAAATAACTATAAAAACAAGCACAGATGTGATAACATCACCACCCTCACACTTAAGCATTTGCTTGTCCTCAATCAAAACCAAGGAATAAAATCATAAGTCAAAACATACAAATTACTCATGCTCTCTCTTGCACAACCTTTCAAACCACCAACCAACTTGCTACAAAACAACAAGCTTCAAGAATCAAATTAGTTTGGCACATAAGAGACCCATTTCCAAGCCAATAACCAAGCACCAAGAATTTAAAGTATGTGAGGATCAAGTTGTCACAAGTACTCAGTTGAGATTATGCAAGACACGACTCATGAATGAGATCCCATAGGCTTGCCCTTCTTACTCCCTAGATCAAATCTAAGAATGCAAGTTAAGATCAAACAGGACTTTATTAAGCTTGTAATGGGGCTACGGGTGATGGCTAACAAAGAAGTGGTATGGAAAAATTAATCAAAAAGAGAGAATGTCACAATTTATCTAAACTTTTCAAAATTTGGAAGAGATGAGATAATTATAATTTCAAGGAGCAAATTTCTTTTAAGAACTTAGCAACTCTTTTGGTAAAGTGAGGATCCAAACTCAAAAACTTCCAAGGAGCAAATTCTTTTTAAGAACTTAGCAACTCTTTTGGTAAAGTGGGGATCCGCACTCAAAAACTTTCAATCTTTTTTTTTTTTCATTCTTTTCTTTGGATTTCTTTTGAATACTGCAAGACAATTTCAATCCAATCTTTCAATTCCTTCACACTTGAACATTTTTAATATCAGCTGCTTTTTGGCACAACTCCATAAAACTCTTCTTACAGAAATAATAAAGATAAAAGTTTCATTCTCTCAAAGGGTGGAAGGGAAATATTTGGCCAAGGGCTAAGGGTTATAATAATGGGGGTAAATCAAAGAAAAACAATTACAATGAGGGGATAAGTGCTTAGCACTTATTTAAACAAACAAAAGGCACAATGGGGACACAAAGGATAAAAATATATATAGGGACAGGTTTAAAGGCTATGGTTAAACAAAAATGGCCTAAATCACTTCAAAACATGCAAAACTTACACATCACTTAGGGAGTAATGAGGCAAGTTCTAGCAAAACACCCATGACCGGAATCTCACATAAGCCTTCACTAGCAATGCATAACACACAAGATCAAGATTATTAAGTGGTTAACAAAGCTATTGGCAAGGGAATAGATCAATTATGTGTTACACCTCAAATCATCCATCACAAATTGAGATGCAGCAAGCACCACTAAAACAAACCACTAACAAACAAGAGAGAGTAATTGCAATTGCATGCTAAGATAAGTAACTTATTCCCTAAAAATATCATATGAGTCATTCAAGCAAAAGCAAAAAATTTTAAAATTTTAAAAAAATCCCCAAATTAATGACTCCTCCCTCACACTTAAAAATTTGCATCGTCCCTGATGCAAAATAAAAGAAAAGGAGAACAAGAGAAAAGAGAAAACTAAGAATCAATAAAATAATCACGAACTAGAAAGCAATAAAACTAAATAAGACAAAACTAGAAAGCAATAAATAAATAGGGAAAGTAATAAAAGATAACATGGGGTGCCTCCCATGAAGCGCTAAATTTAACGTCGTTAGCTCAATGTTACCTCTCTAGCCATCAAGTGATTGGAGAAGAAAGATCCCCTTCTTTCCATCAATTTTATCTTCCAAGTATTTCTTCAAGTGATGTCCATTTATAAACTCTCTTAAGCTCGAACCCTTCATGTCATCATGTAAGGAACCACATTCGCCCGAATCTAGAATTATGCCTCCATTCTCTTTTCCTTTATTTTCAACACTCTCTTGTTCAACAAGTAATGAGAGTCTCGGATCATCCACATGAACCAGCAAGTATTGGGAATCATTGGATATATAGATAGGCAAATGTGTGCCATCATCCTTAAGAACTCCAATGCCTCCCAAATTCAAAATTTCTCTAAAGTTCTCTACAAGGGAAGTGTTCTCCATTGGTGAGACATCCTCATTCAAATCATGTGCACCAACTGGGGGTAATGAGATTCGGAAGAAAAGGGAAACTCAGCCCACGATTTATCGGCCCCTATGAAATCATAGAAAGAGTTGGGAACCTAGCCTATCACCTCGCTCTACCCGTTGAACTAGAACGAGTACACAACGTATTCCACATACCCCAGCTAAAGAAATACGTGCACGACCCAAGCCACGTGCTTCAACCCGAGATCGTGGACCTCGACGAGTCACTAGTATACGAAGAAAAACCCGTGAGAATCCTGGACACCAAGACAAGAACCACCCGACGTCGAGCCATAGAAATGGTGAAAGTCCTTTGGACCAACCATGAGACCGAGGAAGCAACATGGGAACTCAAGGACACAATGAAGGAACGCTACCCCGAACTTTTCACAGCAGGTAGCTAAGAAGAAGTCACTCGACAAGGACCAAGCTTCGGGGACGAAGCTTCCTGTTAAGGTGGGGAGAGTGTAACACCCCGTGTTACGATCCCTAAAACCAATTAAATCATTTAATTAATCACCTAAGAGAAAGAATTAAATCACAATAATTAATTAGGAAAGGCCCACCATAGTCCATGGGCCCTTATCCCTAAACCCAATCCTTAGTCCCAAAAGGAATAGAATTAGCAAGCCTATAATATTAGTTCTCAATTAGGACTCCTAAATATATAAATAGGGGACTTAAGTGGCACTTAGAACCCCCCACCACAATAATCCCTCACCACACAAGAAGTTCCAAGAATTCCCCTAGGAGAAATCAAGAAAGAAGAAAGCTTCAAGAAAAACCCTTCATAGCCAAGGAATTAATTAAGACTAAGAGGTAACCCATGTCTCAACAAAACCTATTTTCATAGCTATGATTCCCCTCTTAGGATTTCCCCATATTATTGTGTATTGATGATTTGTGATATTATTATTGATGATTGATGGGATGATTCCATGGGTGATCTTGGTGATGAAAGATTCTTGATGATTATGGTGTTCTTGATGATTATATGATGTTCTTGATGATTGTAGGATGTTCTTGATGTTTATGTGATATTCTTACCGAATCTTGATATTAGAAGATGAATTGTGTCCTTGTTGATTTAAAAATGATTAGAACCCTAGGTTGTATCGCATGGAATTATTCTTGGTATATTGGGTGGGAATTCGCATGATTGGGTGTTGATTATGTTTAGGAAAGCATGATAGGTTATGTGCTATATGTTTCTCGATCTTTGATCCGTTAATTGTCTACGTGTGTTATCAATTGCGTTTGAAAGTGTCTAAGCATGGTTTCGGGTTCCACAAAGGTTCCCGGGGCGTTTTTGGTGAAAAAGAGTCAGTGGGGGGTAGGTGGGGGTAGGGGACCCGGCACCTACCCGCGGCCTTCTTGGGCAACGCCGGCAGCGGGCAGCTGCCCGCCGGGTACCCGCTGCCCGGAATAGCTGCCGCCGGCGG